CACCCTGGCCACCCTCCCCTCCCATTCCCCCCTACTCCACATGAGGGCTGTGGGGTGGGGTCATGTAAATCTGATAAGTCATTTGAAGTAGGTACCAGGACTTCTCTCCTGTCTCTAGGTTAAGGGAGTATCCCTCCATGGGGGATGTTTCCGCAAGGTCCTTTTGTGCACCAGGAATACATCCTGGTTCCACTGTCTGAGGTCCCTTAGACTGCTCAGTCCTTCTAGCTGAGACCCATGTTCCGGAGGACCTGAGTCAGTCCCATGCTGGATTCCCAGCTATCAATCTGGGGGGCGGGCGTTAGCTCCTCTTTGTTCAGGTAAGCTGTCTCTATGTGTTTCTGCAGCCTGGTCTTGTCCTCACCCTCTGCATCTGGATTCTAGTTCAGTTCAGTGTTTAGTTATGGGTGTTTGCTTCTGTTTCCACCAGGTACTAGATGAGGGCTCCATGATGGTGGATAAGTTAGTCGGATCTCATTATTAGGGAAGGGCATTTATGGTAGGCTTTCCACTGTTGCTCAAATTGTTAGTTTAAGACTTCCTAAGACTTCCATGGGATTACAGAGGGATCCAGGAGGCCCCATGCCTCCTGAGGAATTAATGGCTGTTAAAGGTTGCTAGAGGAGCAGGAGTCTGTTTCTTCTGTAGTATAACCACTGATAAGTTGTCTAGGACCCCAGTAGATAACCTTCTACCTCAGATAAGGAGCTCTAATTAGATTCAGAGAGTCACACATAAAGAAGACGTGAAAATGAGAGGGAGACTTCTTGGGGACAAGAAGGGTTTCAGTTGGCAGGGGTTAGAGAAGGGGATAGAGGCAAAAACAACTAAAACTTATTATACATGTGAATGCAACTGTCAAAAAAAAAAAAAGGATTTCTATAAGACTAGAACAGGCAGAAAGAGTGGGGATATTGATTGTCAGTGTGCTTCCTGTAGATTGCTTTGAGGGGTCCTGGGAAGAGACCATATTATCTTCATTGGCTCCGCCCAGCTGTGCCTTGCTAATTATAGCATTCCTGCCAAGATATTTCCAGTGTGTACATCTGCCTCCTGCAGTAGACTTGGAGACCCAGGAGAGTGAGTGGGTTTGCTCCCCTCAATATGCCTAGATCTTGTTCCAAGCCTGACGCCCATCGTAATTATCGAGTTGCTGCCGAATAAAGAACTACAGTAACCTATAATTTTCCACCATCCCACTCTGCAAACAACTATTGCCTTTACTGCCAGGATGTCATGACTCATTGTGCCCCAAGCCTGGCTCTAGACCTGCAGCCTGGTGCACTCTGGGTCTGAGTCCGTATAGGGGTGCAAGATCTTCATGAGGCAGAGCTGCAAGTATGAGAAAGCCAATGGGCTCCAACAGTGGATCGAGACCAGGGAAGGAGATGAGATGCCTCGGTACCTCACCCCATTCTCTTCTGGAGGAATGGGCTGCAACCCATTCCTTGCATCTAAATGAGAGGCCCAATCAATCTTCCCGAAAATATCTTTTTCTCCATCACTAAAAGCCACTTAAAAAGAAAAGAGAAAGATATATAACTGGGTTTCAACTGAAGTGGATTTGTGTGTTTTCTCTCTGTATGTCTGGAGCTCTGCATTCCTGTGTTTTCTTTGGTTTTAATTTTAACCTGAGATCGACTTTTTTTTTTTTTTTCAAAATGGAAACCTATGGAAATTAAAAAGTAGCACTAGATAAAAGACATGCCAAAACACCCAGGAGAGTCCTGTGTAGTACCACACTGAGGTCTAGGAAGGGATTTGCAGAGGGTCTTTGTCATGTGGAGAAGTGGTGTGGCGAATTGAGAATGCTCCGCTCCGCTCCCCTCCCCTTCCCTCCCCCCCCCATCTCAGAAGCCAGCAGATGCAGTGTGCTGGGACCAGGAACTAAGAATGGTGGCTTGGTAGGTAGACTGTAACACTGACTCTTAACTGCTTCTTTGGTATTTCTAACATCTGGGCTCCCTTACACTCAAACAATAAACTGCTTGGGGCCAGATTAGCTGGGGCATACCTGGGAAAACATACAGCAGATGTCTTCATTTATACTTTGTCTGTTTTGTTTACTGTGGAAATGGCTGCACTGATTTTGATTTTAAAATACTGCATTAAAATTATCTCTTGTAATTGCCATCATAGAGACTTCATCCAGTAACTGATGGAAGCAGATGCAGACATCCACAGTTAAGGACTGATCCCAGCTCCCTGAGTCCAGGCGAAGACAGGGAGGAGCAATAGTATAAGCCAAGGGGTCAAGACCATGATGAGGAAACCCACAGAATCAGCTAACCTGAGCCACTGGGAACTCACTGCCTCTGGACTGACAGCTGGGAACCTGCATAGGACCAAACTAGACCCCAAGAATGTGGGTGATAGTTATGTGGCTTGGGCAGTTTATGGGGCCAGTGGTGGTCGGACCAGGATTTATACTTGGTACACGAACTGGCTTTTTGGAGCCCATTCCCTGTGGAGGGATAACTTGCTCAGCCTAGATAAAAGCAGGGAGGGCCTTAATCCTGCTTCAACTGTGATGTGACAGAGTTTGTTGACTCCCAATGGAAGGCCTTACCCTTTCTGAGGAGTGGATGGGGGTGGGGTAGGGAAAGGTGGGGGGGAGTGCAAGGATGGGAGGGAGAGGGACTTGGGATTGGTATGTAAAATTAAAAAAAAAGATTGTTTTAAATAAAAATATTAGCATGAACTATTAAAAAAAATCTCTTGTAGCCTAGGATGGCCTCAAACTGGCTATGTAACTGAAGACAACCTTGATTTTCTGATCTTGAATTTCTGCTGGGATTGCAACTACACATCATGACACCCAGGTTTATTCAGTACTGGTGATAGAAACAAAGGCATGCGAGGAAAGCATTTCACCATCTGAACCTCATCCCACACCCTACCCACTTCATTTTATGCCTTCTCTGCCTTACCCGATGCTTCCAGTTGCTCCCATTTGGCCTTCCCTTTACATTCTCCCATGATGATCCATCCTTCTACTGTTAAGTGATAACTCACTCCTGGCACCCGGGAGACAATCAAGAAGGTCTGGGAAGATGGCCTTCCTTGACATGGCCTTTTGCTAATGTCATCTTGCAGTTTCACCATTGAGATGAATAATAACAACAATCAAAGCTCATTTATTTTTAAAGGCATCTTTCTTGTACAGAGCAGAATGAGAAATGGTGCCCCGCAGCCAACCGTGACTATGCTTTATGCTCTGCAGCTTCCTGGCTAGATGATGCATCAGGCCCCGAATACTCAAGGACTTTTTACCATACCAACTGTGGCAACCCTGGAGGGGGAGAAATTGTAATATGGTGAAAGGATGGGCCCGCTTCTAAATGCATATGTAACTCTCCGATTGCAACACCATCTCTAACCTAGGGAAGTATGAAAAGAAAGGAAGCTATGACCTCAACCCCTTTGACTAGTGAGGACAACAGGAACCCCGGTATCTCAGGTCAGCTCTGTGACAAGGCAGATTTGCTGGTATCCTTGAGCCTAGGTATTTGCTCTGTCCCGGTTGCCATGTCAGGAGAGAAGCAACCTGATAAGAAACTGCCTGAGCTCTGGCTGCCCTTAGGCTGTCTTCGGTGTCTGATTCTAGCTCCATACTATGGCTAGAAAATGGAATACCCGCCACAAGCTCATGTATTTAAACGCTTAGTCTCCAGCTTGCGGCGCTATTTTCTGAAGTTGTGGAACCTCTTAGAATGTGGGGTCTGGCTGTCTAAAATGGATTGCTGGAGAGCCATGAAGGTTGTAGTCTGAGCCTGCTTCTTGCCTAGCCTCTCTCTGACTCCGGGTATGCTAGAGTGGGGTGAGGTGGAGAGGGCATCCATACACTCCTGCCTGCGTGAATCCCACCACATCTCCCCTGCTACAATGGAGTATATGCTTTCAAATCATGAGCCAACAGAAATATTCCCTCCCGTCAGTTGTTTCAGTAAGAAATTCTGTCTTACTGAGAAGTGTTAACATCCAGTAACTAATGTATTTCATCCTGGTGGCATTATTTTAATGTATTTTGTTTTGTTTCAAAACGTAATCTCATGTACCTCCGAGTCTGCCTGGAACTCACTATGTACCTACAGCTAACCCCAAGCTCCTGCCTCCATCTCCCAAGTACTGAAATGATAGGTGTGTCCTGCCAAGCCTGGCTTTATCTTAATACTTCGTTTCCTATTCCCCTTTCCCTTCCCTTCCTCCCCTTCCCTCTTGCTGAGACTTTCCACGATTGATTGCTTTTGCAGTACTAGGAACTGAACCAAGAGCTTTGAGCATGGAAGACAAGGGCTCTGCCTCTGAGACCTATCTCTTGTGGGAAAAAGAGGAACTCCTCAGTGAATGTGTAAGGACCCAAGGTAGTCCTGGGTGAGTGTGTGTTGTTGTTGGTGGTGGCGGTGTGGCCAAGTCAAGGACCCTAACGCTTTAGAACCGTGGAACAGCGAAGTCTTCCTCTGATGTTGACAGAGTGTGCAAACACAAGAAACTAGAGCCCCACCCCCACCCCACCCCATGAAATAGTCCCCTTACAGAGACCTCCCACTGAGACGAATTCCTGACATCTGTATGTCCATTCTTCATCCTATGGTTCCTGGGGCTTCTCAGAAGGAGAACTTATTTGTTGGGACTTCAAACTACAGCGTGCCAGCCGCCTACCTTAGTAGGTGATATCTCCATCAGGATGAGCATAGCTCATCTGATCCCAGCTTTCTCTAGGAATGCCTGTCATTTCTTCAGAATCTTTCATTTCTCCATTCCCTTATTGCCCTATCTAACAAGCTGTTCTGGACACTGAAGCCTCCAGCCCTCTTTTTACTTTGAGATAATAATCCCTGTATGGCATAGACCTTGTGATCCTCCTGGCTCAGATTCCCAAGTAACTGGGATTCTAGGTATACACACCAATGAGCCACCCTTCAGTAAGCAGCTTAAGGCACACATGGACACCCAGAACAAATGCTGTTCAGTCACAAGGCCTGACCCCACAGCCTTACCAGGACTGTGTGCATCCCAGTGTAGAGTCTGCTGAGACACACCAATGTAGAGAACACCACAGCCATTGTCAGGCCCAAGGCAAAAGGGTACTGCAGAGAAGAAGAGAAAATAAGAACATTAGATCATGTTTAGATGAAAGCCTCTCTCTCTCTCTCTCTCTCTCTCTCTCTCTCTCTCTCTCTCTGTGTGTGTGTGTGTGTGTGTGTGTGTGTGTGTTAAGGATTAAATTCAGAGCTAAGCAGGCATTTTACCACTAGCCCCTTTTTATTTGATTTTTTGCCGTGAGATGGTTACTGGTGGTGTGGCTTGAACTTGTGATTTTTTTTTCTCGTGAATTCTCCTGAGTAGCCAAGACTCTGGTCAGAACTAACTGAGTTGATGTCACAGCTGGGAATGGGATTCGTTGTACATAATTACTAGTCTGAATCTTATTTTCCCTAGACTAGCAATCTAATCATCTGAAAACATTTTAAAATCAGGGCAGGTAAGGAGAATATGCCTACAAATACAGCTCTGGGGGAAAGTTTCCCAATAGATAAACAATGTAAATAATACACAGAAGAACTAGGGTTCAGCATTTTACTCTCTCTCTCTCTTTTTAGCCATTTAAAAATATTTATTGAATATTGGAATCAGAGTTATCACCTATACCCTGATGACCAACCCTTATGGCCACACAGAACACTCCTCATACTTCCAGCTTCCTAAGGAGGGCAGCCCAGAGAGGTTCTGATGGAGCCTGCTGCGTTACAAAGATTCTCTCTTATAACCAGGACAGAGACATATAATATACCTGGTTTGATTACTAACGTGCTGATCCGTAGTGATATGAACAGACACACCAGCATCTGCAGCAGACACAGTGCTGGCCCACCCACTCACTAGGTCTTCACATGACCTTAGGATGTAGGTTCCATATTAGTCCTGTTGTATAAACAGTGATGCCTGATACGATGGTATGATGGTAAATCAATGCCACAGTTAGTCATGACATTTGCTCCTCACAATAGGAGCCAGAAAGATGTGCACCAAATCACATAGCCAGTGGTTCAGTTAGAACCAGTAGCCATTATCTTCTGTTCTTTCCCAGGTGACACTAAGTCTGGTAACTCTTGGTTGAAAATATCCTTAAACACGATCCTCCTATCTCAGTCTCTTGAGTGCTGGGGTTACAAGTGTATGTACCCTAGCTGGCAGTTTCTCTTTCAAGAGTTTTCATTGACTCTGCATACTGGGCTGAGCCCACTGTGTCCTTCTGGGTAGTAGAGTATGTGTGAAACCCAGCTCAACTTAAACAGTTCTGGGAACCCCAGATACTTCGGGTCCTGGCATGGCATTTTAACAATTTACAACACAGCAGTCAAACAGCTAGCTGCATACACTCCTTATGAATGTCCTTGTCCCACTGAGGAAGCGCATCTCTGTCCATGTGATCGGGAAGAAAACTAGAGGTAGAGCTGAGATCTGACCCAGCTCTGGCCTCTTCCAACCACGCTGGCTGAATGATGAACCCTGGAATATGGAGCAGCTGCGGCTATCTGGGGTAAAGAGCAGGATTGCTGTTTAGCTATAAGACCACCAGATTGGATGAAATTTAAAACTTGCAACAGCTAGTGAAATACAATTCTTGAAATTAAACTCTAAGTTAAAGTGATGTGTCTCCAATAATAGAAAGAAAAAAAAAATCTTCCTCGAAGCAATCTCATAACTCTGAAAAGATCTTACTATAATTATCGTCTAAGCAGATATTAAATGAAATTCTTCTATTTTCAACACTTATTAATCTCCTGTCATGTATATGGTTCTTAAAAAAAAAACCACCAAGGCATCATTTCTAATAACTGGTCCCTAACCAGGGGCAGAGTCATCTTGGAAGGTAATTTGGAGTACCTGACTCTCTTCTGCCCCAGGCCAGGAGAGTCTGGCAGAAGGATTTGGTTGGATCATCTTTGCCCTGGAGGATCATTTATGAAGATCATAAACCCTTTGTGTCTGTTGCACGTCTGTCTAGGCAAGAACTCAGGGAAACAGTTCATGCGGAGATGATGGCAGGTAGCCCACACTATGCTCTCCATTCTGGGCCCATCCTCACCCAAAGGCATAGTCTGATTGGGGTGCTTGGGTGCTAAATTAGACAGTCCCTTTATGAAAAAATTATCAACATCCCTGTAGGTTCCAGACTACTTACATTTTTTTTAACCTCATACTCCTTAATGCCCCTCAGAATAGCTTTAGGAGAAATTCTGAAAGCTCCTCTCTCTCTTCCTCAAGCTACAATTAGAAGGGGAGGAATATGGAGGGGGCCCCACCTTACCTGGTACCTGTCCATGGTAGAGATGAGGAGGGTGAAGGAAATGGCAGTGGCTGCCATGGCGTGGGTGGATGGCATTCCGTATTCTGCAACCACTCTCTTTTCAAGTCTCACAACGGGAGGGGACGAGGGCCGGGGCCACTTCAGGATGTCCTTGGCCACCTGACCAATGTACATCACCAACTGTAAAGCCAAAGACCTGAGATAAATATACCCCAGTAAGGATGGTAACTATACCTCTAAACGTCCATTATCTGCAGTTCCAGTGTACCCGCTCGAATCTCCGGGGATGTATTGTTTTGTAGGGTACCGGTGATCCAGACTCAGGTCTTCATACATGTACAGCAAGCGCTTTGTCACATGTGTCATTCCCTCAGCCTCTTTTACTTATACTTAACAAACACTTCCGTAGCTTATGTGTGTGTCACGGGCCATTCTCTGCCAAGCCGGGAGTCTTCAGAAATCACACCTCAAGCTACTGTTTGAGGCTACCTCCAGCTCAGGAGTAGTCTGGACCAGAGTGAGCCTTGTACTCAAGTCAGACAACAATCGTGTAACCTTTAAATGCTCTCACTGTAGCTGTCTTCTTAACAGTTTTAAGCTTTAACCGCAAAAGTAACTGTTCTCCTAGAACATTTCACTAAGCATTTTTTGTTTTCACAAGCTGTTGTCACTCCTGGTAGATGTAGGGAAGATGCCAGATATAATTAAATTTCATTTAGAAAGCTATAAAATAAGTAGTGGGGGAATTCTGAAACTGATAAAAATGACTAGTCAACCTGGAATTTGTTCAAAACAATTTTTTCCCCATGAGGCCACTGATTGAAGAGATTTTCCCCATTGTTTTAAAACCTTTTTAAAAAAAAATTGGTGTATTTATTTTATGTATATGAGTGTTTTACTTGCATGTATATATCTGTACTATGAGCTTGGTGATTGCAAAGTTCAGAAAAGGGCATTAGATTCCCCGGAACTAGAGTTACTGATGGTTGGGAGCTGCCCTGCAGGTGCTGTGAACCAGCCCAGGTCCTCCGAAGCACTTAACTGTCAAACTATCTATCCAGCTGCCACACGGCCTGGATTTGCTGTTCGCACTCTCTAACACTGAGCAAGTGAGGCTGCTAACCACAGCCTCATTTGCTTTGTCAAAGAGCTTTATATGGCCATCCCATGACCTACGATAGAGGGGATAAGAGCAGCATGGCTACCCAAACCCAACCTTTGCAACTCATAGTCCGAGGGTTTGTAAGGACTCTACCACTGAAAGTGGGCCCCTCTCTGCCCCTTTACTCTCCCTTTCCTCTCTTCCTCCCTCCATCCCTTCATTCCTTCCTTCTTCCCACCCTCCCTCCCTTTCTTCCTCCATACCTCCCCTTCCAGTCTTTGCTACTGCAGGAGCTCAGCACCTCTTTCTGGCAAAAGACTCTCCTGCATAGGTCAGCGTGTCAATGGCTTTAGTCATGAACCTTCTCATCGTAACTATGGCAATAGTGTCCACGTTGCCGCAGCTAACATTTAGCTTGTGGTGAACGGAGTCATCTTGCTTTGCAATGGAACCCTTAATGAAAAACTATTTTTAAATTATTAGGATTAGCCAACTGATTGCCAGGAACTTCCACATTCTGGTGCTTTCTTTCCACACTTCAAGCAGCAGGTCAATGTGGAGCTGTATCCCCACAGGAGGCACAATGCCTGGGTTAAAACTTAGCAGAGGCTATGGTTCTCAGCAGGACAAATCCCCAGGTTGTAAAGCCTCAGAGACAATCAGTCTGAGTTCCATCATCGTGCTTTCCAATGAACTTTGAAACACAGCCTCTTAAACATCCCTCCTCACCCCCAACATAAAAAAAAGAAAAAAATCAATCAACCAACCAACCAAACAAACAAATAAAACCATCGCAGGCATGAAGGACAAATTCTAGCTCACTGGAAATACTGAAGACTCTCACAGACCAGAAGCCTGAAAATCATGACATGGAGAAAGATTGGGTAACCCGTGCTTGAGCCAAATTCAGTTTTCTTGAAGTTCACAAGTCCCTTTGACTTCATTTCTGTTCTCCTTTCTACACTTGAAGGACAATTAGAATTAGGACAATTGTCCACTTCTCTTAAAAAACACTGCCACACCTACACATTGTTTCCAATTAAAAAAAAATCTAAATAAAAATGCGTACAGTGACAGTTCTCTTTCAACAAGAGAAAACAGACTCACAATCTTCATGACACAGGAAAAGAACCGGCTCACAGAAGAGCTCTGTCCCTGCAACTGCAGCTGAGGACAACCTGATGTCAGCTTGGCCTCCAGTAGGGGAAAGGGCTGCACAGTCTCACCAAACACCACCACCACCAACACGAACCCTGTAGCAGAGAGTTATCCACAGAGCTCTGAGGGTGCACACTCTAGCTGGGGTCCTATGGGGAGTTGATGGGACCTTAGGTTGTGGGGCCTGGTGGGAGGAAGTTAGGTCATTTGAGTGTGCCGTTTCCCCTCTTTCTCTTTGCTTTCTGCTGGTCATGAAGTGAGCGGCTTCCTCTACCAACACATGCTGCCTCACCCACCACAAGGACAAAAAACAAAAAAAAAACAAAAAACAGGGTTCATAGATTTCAAACTTTAAGCCATAATAAACCTTTCCTCTAAGTTGCTTATCTCGGGTATTTTGTTACAGTAGCACAAAGCTAACCCCAACAGTACATGTAGAAAGACACTTTGAAAGACCCTGGGGCTGAACATCAAGGGAAATGGCTTCATTCAGACCAGTGAAGGGAAAGAGATATCTAGGTTCCAAGGACAGGATGAGCAGAGGCTTCCATAGGTGACACTGGGGAGTGTAGTGGGAGGAAGAAGGAGACTAGAACCACTGAACTGAACCAACGAGGCACACCAGCGTACATCCACTAGAATGACTAAGACAAATGGAACCAGACACAGCCAGCAGTGGCAGGAATAAAACATTCTGGAGCTCTTCTTACACACTGAGGAAATCCACATGTACAACCACTCTGGAAAAGTCTGGTAGTCTTTAAAAACATTAAGTATACTTTCACCATGTGATTCATCCAAACCACCCTAGAAATTTACTCCTGACAAATGAGACCATATGTGACACAAAGGTTTCCATATGAATGTTCATTACAGGTATTTTTTTTTTTTAAATAATAGTCCCAAGCTGGAAACAGCTCAACTTCCACCTGAAGGTGAGTAAAATGTGGTATTATCATACAATTGAATGCTAATAAGAAAAAACAAAAACCTGAGCTGTTGACACATATTTACAATAGATATGAAGCTCCAAACAATGCTGCAGAATAAAGCAATAGACAAAGCAAGGGGTACAGCTAACTGCCTCTATTAATATAATATTCCTAACAACATGAGGCGATGTCCATGTCTAACAGATCCCTTTGATACCAAGGGTATAGCTAGGGTAGAGAATCTCAGGAATGGTTGGAGGGAGAGCAATTAAGAAAATATTTCAGAATCTGGGTGAGATACCAGTGCAGTGCAGGCCAGCAGCAAAGAGATTCGGAAAATGTTTTGTGTTGCTTTTCTTTTTAACAATATAAAAAGGTTAAGTAGATTTATAACTGCCAGAACAACAACTAGGGGACATCATGGTAGTAAGACAGAAGACAGAAACTGAAAGAATATGACCCTAGAGCCTAGCAGGTATGTGGAAGTGCTTTTCAGGATGAGAAGAATTTGCCACTAGTTCTCAATATCAGTTGATGCTCTCCAACTTCACTGTGGCCATAGGTACCACTAGCATGGAACAGGAGAAGGCTGGGGATGCAAACCTCATTCTAATAAACAGGACCATGCTACATGGTAAAAAACTGGTTGTGACTCTTGAGTTTCCACCAGGTAAAAAGTCCAATGCAGCACTCTAGTCTGAAGCCTCTGTTGGACAAATAAATACTAAATATATTTCAAAACACAATTTGAATGGGCATGGCATTTTGAAGGATATTCCTGTTGATATGACCTGAAGGAAGGTTGGGCACTGGCTTATTTGAGATTTAGCAGGATTTGTCACTGTTGGGGTAAATGCTGTCCATTGGGTCTGTGTCTTCTGTCTGATACTTCTGTGCCCCAGGAACTGCAGTTGGCACACTCAGGATGCCCCAAGCAGAAGAGCAGGCTCAGAGGCTTGTCTACTTCATATGTAGACATGTCCAAGCTTAAAAGAACACATGTTAAAAAAATGTGTAGTAGGCTATGCCACCCAATACATCTACAGTTAGAATCTAAAAGTGTCAGTATGTCGTTTAAAGAGCTAGTCCTAAAAGGCAAACACACTGTATTATGCTTTTCATATAAATGTCTAGACTAAGTAAGCGCAGAGACAGAAAGTGGCTTAGTGGTCGCCTAGAGCAGGGAGGTCACATGTCTGATATCAGAAGTCAGCTGATCCAGGCTTACTCTGAAGCTCTTGGGCAGAGTCCCCTTCCTTGCCTCTTCTATAGAAGTTTCTGGTGGCTGTGAGCACTTCTTGATGAGTGGCCAGCTCATTACAGTCCCTGAGTCTGGTGTAACACTGCTTCCTCCTGTCTGTTCCAACCGTCTTTCCCTTGTGCGCTTCTGAGGAAATCTGTTGAACTGGCCTAACCAGAGGATCTAAGATGAACATCCCAAGATCCTCCACTTTATGTCCATCAGAAGAACCCTCTTCCCTAAAAGATAACACTCACATGTTCTGGTGTTTAGGATGTGGACTTGTATTTTGGGAGATCACTCTTCAACCCACAAAACTCAGTAAGCAGTTGGTGAGTTACTAAGAAAAACACACTATACTGGTTTGGGAAATAATATGCAGAACAATATAGACAAGGTCTTTTTCCCACAGAGCAAGTGAACGCATATGGCCCAAAGGATGTTTGGCTTCACTACCTTTGATCCGTTTAATACGAAGCGTTATGCTTTACAAACACAGAGTGCAGGGGCTCTGACTCCATGGTAGAGAGTTTGCCTCTCATGCTCCATGGGTTTGGTTCCCAGCCCTGAAGAAAACAAATGGAGGTGGTGTATTTGACAGAACTGAGGGGAAAGAAGTTGAGTCTGAGACTTCAAATGTTTAACATCGTATGTCATTGATTATACTTTAAATTAGAAGTGAGACACAGCTATGTACATATTAGAGTGGCCAAAGTCCAAAAACCTGACAATACCACATGCTGGCAAG